GTTTAAACCATAGTTCCGAACTTTACACGTTGGGTCGCAAATATCTACCTGGTTCATTTTTTCCCACTTGTCATGGTAACATTTTCCAGAGTCTGGAACCGCTATGGCAGAAGTACTAAAGTAACACCTTCTCCCATTTCGAAGATGATAATAAGCAAAATTCCTGAGGGATAATATTTTTGCAAGAGCTTATTCCTGCATTGGTTGTTATCATCCATTTGAAAGGATGGTGTAATATCAATGATAGTAATGCTGTCATTCGCCATGGCAAAGGGTTTGACGCACTCCAAACAGGACGCATAAATAGCCAGAGGACCTAATCAAAATAGCGACACAAATTGATACGTCAGGTGTTGTGGAGTGGCATAGAGAGGGCTTTCTAAAAGAATGACCAACAATACACGAAGTAACGATGCTAGGAGCCCTGGTAAAGCCAATGTTAGCTAAAAGTGAGAACGAGTTAAGAAGCCCCAATACAATTCTCAGCTCTAAAATTGGGTATTACTTGACAATAAAGGTTCTTACTTACAAAAAGGACTGAAATAACTTTACTCACAACAGAAACCACAACGCAGAAGTTGGAAGTCGTGCCTAAAAGGGGCAGACTGCCACGCTTGCTGATTTGCTTCTCCCGCAAGTCTAAGCTCGCGGATTCTGCTGCAAGTGTAAGTGAATTAAAATTGCTAGGGTGAGAGGTAACTACCCAATTGTCCAACTTCCCACTTCTCCTGCAGCCACTGTTAAGATTATGACAGACAAAGTAGTACGGGTGGGCACTTAGTAGGAAAGGTGAGGATGTGCTGCTGAAGTAACATGGAGGCGATTGAGTCCATGAATGGGCCACTGGCGCCAAACAACACGGCAACAGTTTAACCATTGGAAGTTCGTCAAGCGGAGAACGCATGTGAGGTACCAAATTACATTCGCAGCATGGCACCAGGATTATGCAAGCGCCAGCATGCAGCTGTAAGGGTACAGTACTCGCACAGTTCGTTTACTTAGCACTTCATAAAAGAAACCCACTCCACAAATGTAAAAAAAAGTCAAGACATTTAAGTAGAACATAAAACATGGGATAACATTCCTACAACGGTCCATTTATCAAATCAGTTGGCTCCAAAGGGAGGGAAAGGACTAACCTTTCTTAGGCTTGTTGGATTCAGTTGAGTCTTGTCTATGACTTTGACAGCAACCTGAAAGAAAAGTAAGTTACCCAGATTACTAACAAAGTACACGATCAGATGAAAAAATCGCCCTTTATAACAATTGACGAAAGGGCTGGATTGGTACCAAAACGCAGCCAATGTTGTCCAAAACGTTAACGATGGTATAGAGAATCAAGTTTTTGGATTTACGATCGCCTCAACCTCATACAGGTCATAAAAACGACTACGCTCCAGCAAACGAGAAGGGAGAACAAAGTCAGCTCGCTTCTGTGCATATCAATGACACACACAAAACAGTGTAGCAGACATAAAAAAGTCTTGGATTTGCCAATGCGCAACATGTCCTCCAACAGATTGAAAGAGCAGTTATGAATAAAAGGTAGACGTAGTCAAGACAAATGGCGACTGGAAGGATTGTGGGAGAACTGAATGAGACAAGCAAGTAATGCAAATGAGAGCGAGGCAAAAAAGAGTGCTCCGAGTACATACAATAAAGGAGAGGATGGCACGCACTTCAATTTCATGAGGCCTCAAGGGCACAACAGTAAAATTTTCATGCTTGAGAAAAACAGCAGGGAACATCTTCTTCCATTGAATGTGTGACAGACCAAAAAGAGCCAATTTTAAGCTCGAAAAAAAGCCACAACATGGCTTCGATTGGACAAGACACACCAAACGAAAAAGGAGGCGGGGCTAGTCACACAGTGCGACCTGCGTTCTGGCCGTGGACACAGATGGAGGATGGTTTTTTGACACGTTAATCCGGTTTATCATACTTTTCTGCACCACTAGGCAGTACTTTGTAGCCCCCAGAGTCTCCGGATAAAAGCTAGCGCCACCATGATCGTGTAACATCATCACTTAAATTCTTTGCATTGATGACTACAAGAGGGTAGAGGGTGGACTGGCCGTAATAACGATAACAATGCACCATAAATAAGGCGTGGAGTCACGACGATCACTGGTCAGAAAGTCCCATTAGAATGCACACTCAAAAGAGCAAACGCAAATTTCGTCTGATGTTTTGGTAAGGAGGCTGTCGTTAAATTCCACATAGCAGTCACATTTTAAACGCCTTAGAGATGGGCTAAAGCAACGCAGAAAGCCAGAAAAAGACTGATTTCAGTGGAAGTACAACAAAAAACCCAAGTCTAGCCAAATGCGGATTCGCTGCTGATCAAATCGATGATTGCATTTCAAAGAGAGGAGATCAAAACTCACGAGCGATCCGCCTCAGAAACGCATTGCTTTTAAACACAAGTTAAGTACAAGTCCCGGACTGGGTGGAGAAGCCTAGCGAGCATAGCCTTAGATACAGACGGATGTCTGCATCCGGAAGCCCATTAGGAAAGCAGGTACCAAGAATGTGGCCAAGGCACTAGCAGCATGGAACATCAAAGAGGATGATGAGTCAGAGTGACGTTACACGTGAAATAAACTGAGGAGGGGCATAAAGTCTAGTGAAGCCGCTCATTTAAAATTGAGTGTCCTTTACAAGAAAGTGAGCCAGTTAAGAGCGGGTTAGGTGCAGGATTTCAAACACCATTAAGAGTTTCATGTAATAGCACATATAATGGTCAAAGATTGAACACTACTGGAAAGCGCGCACACACATACACCATTACGTGCTCCTGGTTTGAAGCACGAATTCCGTGGGTGGAGTTGACTCGTTCATGCATACACAACATAAAACACACTACTGTCGCACTACTCGCATGCCATGTGTAAAAGATCAATGCTTAGGCTGAGGGGTGTGAGGCCGTGTGAGAGGGTACTTGCAGAATTCTTTCAAAGCTCACTCATTATAAGGAAAAGGTGGCTATGGCGAACTTCATCAAAGCCATTCTGCGTTAAACAACAAATAAGGAAGGGCTAAAACGTAAAAGGGTTTCGGTGTTAGCATTTTTTAAAGTGAAAACAAGTTTGACAGACGTTCGATGCCCTACCTGCGACTAGTTGAGTGAACACGATGCACAGAAAGTGCGCTCCACATTTCACTAGCATTGGGCTTCACCACCTCTTCGGATAGCTAATCTCGTCATAGAAGCTGCAATTGTTATTGTGAACTAGTATCATTGGAGCGGTGGTTTTAAAAGTGATCTGAAAAATGTCAAACGTGGAACCGATTTGCTAGCATTGTCTCCCAAAAATCCTTCACGTGACAACGGCTTTAAATAGATTTTTGGCAAGAAAATGAAAGTCAAATCGAGTCCTGTTGAAAGTATGCGGAAAGGGCTTTGGATAAAGTCTCCAAAGTTAAAAATGATTACAGGGTAGCTCGTGGTGCTGGGAGCTACTTGGACCTACAAGAATCAGTGCAGCGATTTTGATCGAGCCTTTAATAGATGATTTGATCAGATCACATTTAACGTGTTGAGAGCATTCCTCACCATTGAGGAACATTGAAATCTATTTGCTTACACAAAAGGGTGGAGATGAAGGGCTACCTCGAGACCATTCAATTGAAAGATGACAACAGAGCTCGGAGATGCATAAATGAATATACTTGTTCACACCTAAAAGTGTGCACGGCGTAAACACATCAATCACCCTTTTTTTCCTTGCGTATATAGTTTTAAGACAGGATACACCCAAAATGGGAAAAGAGAATAAGCTAATTGAGATGTTACAACCTTGATAGACTTCACTGAACACCGAGAAAATAAAAAAAAATAGGGACATGGATTGGTTTATATTGACACCAATGTGGTATGGAGATCTGGCAGAGTTTATAATTTGATAAGTGATTCAAAAAGGTGGTCAAATAGGATTAATTTTCCAGTCAGCGGACAATTTGGAGTTGGTGAAAATAAATGCTAACCCGAAGGGGCAACTGGACCACCAGTTATGGAGTACTCAGGCGCCAAAGCTCCCAGTCTTCTATAGGGTAAAAATACACCGCATAGAAGCTAAAGGATTGAAGCGATGAATAAGCAAACGACGAAGCTGGGACTATCCCATAAGCACAAAAGATGTAAGAGTTAGCTACAAAATAGCCATAACTATCACAAAAAAGGCAAGACTCATGAAGTACGGAAAAAAATTGGATAGCTACATCAAAGGGCAAAATTGCTTAAACCTAAAAGAGGCCTGGAACGCCTGATGGGCGGAATTATTGGCAACAATACGGCATTGAAGACTGATAATACGTAGAAATGTGGTACAACGGTTTAACAATCCACAATTCGATACCTATAAGGACTTTGAACCCAAGTGAAACTTCACAAAGTCGAAATTTTTAACGTCCGCTTATAAGCTTTAAATTTTTCCGCATTGTCTGTCGATGATGCGTCGTATTTCTTACTCACTACTACCTCAGCTGAGCTTCTACGGAAGTTTGCAATAAAGTACGCCTATGCCAAAAGTGTTCGGTTTGCATTTCATTCCGCAACGGATGGCCGATGGACATAAAAGGCAAAAACGAAGTAAGGAACGAGTACGCATCGAAACTGCCGCGTAAAGGCGCGTAGATACGCCATTACACGTGCTTGCCAACTTTCTGCCTCATTCTCATTCTCATTCTTCTCTAACAAATAATAACTTCGGAGACTTATTAGTCTACCCGTACGAGAATAAGGGATACTTACCTCCATTCCCGTTGTCACATGTTGGGCCAGCTTGACCTTGGCGAAATTGCCTTTACCAATGGTGCGAATCAGGCTATACTTTCCCACATGTGGTCGTTCCTTCCAATTGTTATTGCTGCTACTGCTACTGGCGGTAGTAGGGGCAGCTCCACCTCCCATGAGCTTACTAGAAACACAGCTGTAACCACCAGTCTCACTAGATGCCTTATGCGGAGCCAGTTGCTGCTGTTGCTGCTGTCGGAAATAGTACTGAGCGTGAGAGAAGTCGGGAGGGGGGTTCTGGGAGGAGATCCTGTAGGCTGCGCCACCCCCACCACCTCGTCTTTGAGCTAGATGGGGCAGTCTTGCGGCGGCCACAGTGGAGGTAGGTGCACCCGTATTGGAAGGGGGTGGCCAGCAATAGAAGCTTCCAGCATTGCTATTAGCCTGTTGAGCGCTCGGGGACTGCATCAAAGAGTGGGACATTATATCCGAAAGAGCACCATTGTTATTAGTGCTGGGATTGGTGCTGTTGTTTGTGACAGTGCCAGCAGTGCCAGTGCCGCTGTTACTGTTATTGAGATAGGCGGGTTTCTGTTGAGGAGGCCCAGGGGCATAAGATGGTGGCGAATACAGCATCGGAGTTGGAGACTGAGGCTGTCCTGGCAAGAGCATGGCACTCGTGGCGTCAGGATCGGGTGTGACTACCACAGGGGGATTTGAGGGCGCAGCAGACGAGTAGGGATACATAAGAGAACCTGATTTTGGATTCTCCAGTAAAAGCATTACACCATGCCCGAATTCGAGGTCGGAGAATGGCAGTAATGCTTCCAAGCTGCAAACTCAAATAGTCCCTATCTAAAAAAACAATAAGAGATGCGCCATATCTCACATTAACTGAATCCACCAAGAAGGAAAAGCGTAGGAGCAAAACAATGTGCTAATAATTTTGGTCAAACACTTATCTGGAACACTTACATAAGTATAAGTTAACACAAATGAGGAAACGGTTATTTCAAATACTCCGTTTACAGAAAGCTTCCATTCTATGGATGCTCAAGATCAAAGTGTTGGTGGTAAGAAAACATTCGACTAAATAGAATGCAAGCACACTAGCTAAAGGTCGACTTTAATTAGTAGTTCTGAACAAATAGGAAAATTGGTGGATAACCATTCTCAAATCTAAAAATATGGAAAGCACTAACTTAAACGATACATTAGCGTCATTTCAGAGGGAAGCTGCGCTAAATAATTCCCTATGGGCGAAGTGCAATGCTACAAATAAACCCCAGAAAATTGAGGTATTTTCTACATTAACATGCCAAGAACGATTTAATTAGGAGACGCCAGAGTCAGACCAGCAGACAACGTTAATAACCATAATTTTGAGATCCAATAAAAGCAAAATTAGCAATCTACCGTAAATGACGTTAATGTAAGAACGTCAAATTATAAAAGGCGCCCAAAGAATGTTTCGTAGGAGGCATCGACTACGAAATTCGGGCACAATGACAGGCATCAGCAACGAAATATTGTCCTTGCAACGCAAATAATAAGTGACTTGAAGTTAAAAAAATGTGAATTGTGAAGTTTTTCCAAAGACTGAGGCAAAAATGTGGGAGAGAGTGCAAGAAGCAACAGTATCATCAATAAAAGTACTACTAGACGATGTCAAAAGTGAAGCACTTAATTTCTAGAGATAAAGTGCACTAAGAGAAGAACGATGTTATTTCAAATAACAGTATTGCGAGGATACAAAATAGATGCAAAGACAAAGTTGCCGTAGACAGTTCAGCACAAAACAAAGGAGCGACACCTGTGCTCACCAGTGCTACTTTAAAGCAGAAGGACCTTGAGGGCACGCAACTTCATTGCGATTATAGTTAATTAAAAGAAATGGTTCAAAGGGAATTTTTTAGTTTTATGATTTATTTCTTAACATATAAGTATTAATACAGATATTCTCAAATATAAAATTTTGAAGTAGACAGAAATGAGATTGGTAAGGTAGTCAGATTGGAATAAATACTTTTCGAAAATGCACTTTATCTTAAAATCTTGTATCTCAGTGCATTATATACCTTTCGTTCAGCCACTAAATAAGGGCGAGGTTAGGGGGATAATTAGCACACCAACTTCACACGATATTGCATGCAAGCGCGCCTAACCCCCGAGTTTACCGCAACGTTCCGTTTCCCACAATCCTTCATCCTTATAACTATCGGGACAGTTGTAACCAAAATTAACTATTGGGCACACACTACTTTGGAAACTCTATTTATAAGAGCTGCCTCTCTACCCTCTGGTCTCTGAACCTCAGACTTCATGAGAGAGTTTGTTGCGGATGATTTATTCGGCAATTGTTATTAGGAAGGATGGGCAATGGGATGCAGATGAGGCGAGTAGGAGATATCAACTGAAGGGAAAGCACTTGTCGATTCCCGTTCCCAATTAATTCTCTCCTCTTACCTATAAAGTACACTTAAACAAACTATTATACATTGCATTTGGCTTTGCGAATTTAAAGTTATAAAGCTTTGGAGCTCTAAAGCTCCTTCTTAGCCATTAGAGAGCATAAGGCCAAGTCTATATGCTAGTTTGCCAGTGATAGGCAAAAAGTTTGCAAATGTAAAAGCCTTGTGTTACTCCTTGTATTATTGTGCAACGTAGCTAACACAATACTCGCTGCACTACCAACGCCAGCCATCACGAAGCTCTCGGTGCTGGAACACCCACCACCCAGCCTTACCGATTATCAGCTTCCATTAGAAGTGAAGGAACTTATTTGACCCTCTTAGAAGATTCGAATGGATCAGTGGAATCGATGATAATAGTAAAACCTTGCCTATTTTTCTACTTGTACGGTTGGCTGTCACTTTGGTACTAATCTTACTCTCGGTACGTGCAGGACAAGCCAAGTTTTAAATCCTTCATCTTTTCTCAGAGTACAATTATTTAGTGCAGCACAATATCAGCTACTTATAGAGAAGTCTCGTGACATTACTCTAGTGGTAGTGATAAGCAAACTTGAATTTATTAAGTTTTGTTTTGGTTGCCCATCATTTGTGGCAAACTTCCGCACTGAAAATGAAGAACATTCAACTAATATACAACGAATACTCGTGAATGACGTCTGCGCTTGACATTTGTTAAACATTCTACTGTTTCGCGGCAAGGCTGTTAAAAAATGGAGCAACACTGCTGCAAACCAACTAGGAAGTCTTGTTTTGTAACTCTTGCTGCGTGCACATGAAGATATCTACAAAGACATCCCAATGATCCTCTTCCATAAGTTTTGGACCGATGTCCAAGGTACAGTCGCATCTTCTGAAGAGAACAAGTACACACTCTCAGCTTTTTTATAGGTGATGCATGGTGTAGCTTGTCCTTGGATGTTTTCTTGCGACACCGAAAACATTATGAAGACAGGTGCAAAACGTGTTTTTTGGAGGTTCTCCGAAGAAGTAGCCTCAAAGAGGCGGAGAGTAATGTAATACCTTGTTTATTCGACTACCTCTATGATTAAAGGTAACCTTAACACTCGTCTTGCTCTTGACTGTGCAGACTAGCCGGCAGGCGAAGCTAAGTCACAGCATCTTCCTTTCTCTCTAACTTAGCGCTAAATGTAGCTTTGATTGATCGCTCACTTGTGTCAAGGAACTGACTGTAATACCTTGTTTATGTGACCGCATAACGTTTGGCGGTCACTTTGGGAATTGTCTGACCCTGGTACACGTGGGCTGGTCTTCGGTCCATGCCCAGGCCCATTTGTCCTGTCGTCTTCAGAATATATGTATTCAACTGCTCTTACTGACTTCTTATACCGGCCAGGAAGTCTCAGAACGCTGCGCTGGTGGCAGCGGAAAGCGAACCCGACATTTTTTAATGAATTTTAAATGAGGTGGGGTCTCTCTCTGCGGCTTGCTTTTAGTTGATCTTTTGTTATAAGCGACGTAGTGTCCGGAAAAATCTATTGACCAGCAGACACCACTGACTTAATGACATCCTTCGTTTGTGTTGCTAAACTTTGCCAATTAATCGACTGATTTCCGGAAAAGAGCAGTACGAACAAGCCGATGAGCAATGGTTCGGTCGGATGATGCAATGGTTCAGATGTATGTCGCTTGATCTTGATGTTGATGCCCTAAGTTGGAGCCCCAAATCGGATTCCTCTGGCCGGAAATTCGAAACCTCTTTTCACGACATGAAGTTTACACTCCAACCAGCAGACAAGACACCAAAGAAATTCAACTTTTAGTAATCATGAGCTATACATGCGTAGAAGGAAGTCTGACTCTATCGAAGTGCAGTAGATGAAGATAGAGGCGAAAAGGGAGGTGAATTGAAGGGGGCGCATTTAACTTGGTGGCGGGCGAATCCTCAAAGCCTTGACAACAAAATGATTTAGATGGGCGTTTGCATTTGGCTTCGCCTCATTCCAGTGTTCCACAGACAAGCTATTAGCAACAGAAGCGACACCGCCATGAACTGTCTGGAAAAGTTTCGTGTCGAAAATGAAACAACGGTTCTCCTCGCATACGGGACAGTGGCTCATCCTGTTTTCCCTGTAACATATGCTTTAGACCAGAGTCCCACCATCTATATCTGAAAGCAGTTGATGGTTAACAGATGTATGCGGCCCCAATCTGGGTGTCAGACCGAACGTAACTCCAGATCCAGTTGAAGCCACCGAGTCTCATGCCATTTGTCGACTGGCGCGGTTGGTTCGTAGGTGCTTTCTTGTAGTACCGAATATATTGTGATGACTGGCGGGGGAGGTGTACCAAAGGGGTGCGCCGAGGAGGTTGCTCAAAAGAAGGGAGGAGCAGTGTAGAGATTTGTTTGTGTGACTGCCTGACGTTTGGCAGTCACTTTAGGATTTGTCTGGCCATTGTACACGTGGGCTGGTCTTCGGTCCATGCCCAGGCCCATTTGTCCTGTCGTCTTCAGAATACATGTATTTAACTGCACTTACTGACTTCTTATACCGGCCAGGAGGTCTCGTGACGCTACACTGAGGTTTGAATACAGAAATGACAGATTATTGGTAGGAATTACACAAATTTATACGCAACCGTGTGGGAGGTAGCTTAGCGTAATGAGAATGTCGACATTTAATGCGAATGTGGTGACCAATATCTGAAAAGAGACGTATATAGTTGGCTTATGCTTGGTTGTATTTCAGTAGTTTTTGTTTGCTAGTGGAAACAGGAAATGCTGTATATGCAGAGAACAGACGCCATTCTAAGCCGTAATTTTGTTAAGCTGGAGATTCGCCAGCCAAAATATGGGCATTTTGTGTGCAAAGTAGGAGACTATCAAAAATACTGAAAATCTTAAGGAGCTAGATTCGCATTCCACTGCCATTAGGGTGTAATTATTGAAAACAGAGGTTTTGCCTGCCAGGTGCAAATATGTGGTTAGAGTCTGGAGCTAGGACAACCTAGTGTTCACATTTAGCTGATAACGTTGTTGCTGCGTTTACAGCTGTTCAAAGTGGTAATGATCCGTTGATTGACTGGCAGTCGTTTTGTTTTTACTGCATACATCGCTTTCCTTTACAAAATAGGGGGCTAAGGGTGGTGCAGCAATTTTGCATGCTAAATACAGCTAAAAAGAACCGTGTATTGTGTTTAAATGACTTATAGAATAAGGTTGGTTCATAGTTTCTGCTAAAAAAACAATTGCCAATAACAATTTGCATGCTATCGATTAATACAGCTAAACGTCCTTCGCGGGGCTTTCGATTTACGCGGAGCGCTTCTGTTAATGAAGGATTTTTATAGACCTCCAGACGTACCAAGGACGATGTAATGCGATTTTGCGTCATTTCGACTCATGGTTTAGCAAAAGCATCCGTTTCCATCTGGCTACGGAGTCGGATGTTTTCCGTCTTGCCCATGTTCCGATTTTGAAATATCTTCTTTACCTGGAGGGGGTGAGCCCTCGAAGATGCGTCGACTACGGTCTTCTTGACCCTAAACTTGGTGCTACAAAACGCAATGAATTGTGCAGCACTTGTGGTTTGGATCATCAAACGTGTATTGGACACTGGGGCTACTTTGATCTCCCCATGCCTGCATTTCATATTGGTTACCTTTGGCACATAGTGAAAATCTTGCAGTGTATTTGCAAGGTAAGATGCGATCGCGCGTTTCATTATCTTAGAACTGTTCCCGAGTTCTGTTGCCTGACCGAGTCAAGAGTCGCTATGTCTCTATCTGTTCTAATTCGAATCTGGAATACATACAGAAGAAAATGTTACGGAAAGCTCTGCATAAAATGGCTAGCAGAACAACGATTTGTCCTCATTGTAATGCTGTCAATGGTATGATCAAATTCTCTTAACGATTTTTCAGGCACTGTCAAGAAAGGGAATGGCTTATCATATGTCGTTCACGATACATCAAAGAATCTTGCTAAAAAAGCAGATAAAAAATTAGCAAAGTATGCAAGTGGAGGCGAAGCAAACCCGGAAATTACTACCTTAGCTCGAAAGTGTGTGGTGAGTTCGACTAAAAAATGTTGTTAACGCTACTACTTCCACCATTGTAGGTGGCATTAAGGCCGTCGCGTGTCTTAGACCTTTTCTCGAAGATTCCAACACAAGATCTTCCCTTAATTTTGATGCCTTTTGACTCTGAATGGTTTTCTCACCCTCGAAATCTTATAATTGAACGCATCCCTGTTTGTCCAAGTGCTCTCAGACCTTCAGTTGTTTCTGAAGTAAAAAGCGGAACGTAAGTTTCTCTGACTTCTGTATCTGCGTCAATGTTTTGATGAAGCATTAGTAGTGTCTATAATGCCTAGAAATGAAGATGATTTAACCCAGATGTACCAGTGGGTATTGGCTCAGGCGGCAACACTGGAGGAGGACCTGTCGGAGCCGGATTGGATAGCCACTTTCGACAATCTTCATTCGGAAATCGCCCGTCTCATCAACTCTCAGCACTCCGGGCTGCCAATTGTCCACGAGCACAAATTTATGCGAGGTTTGCTACAACGCCTATCTGGCAAACACGGTCGCTTCCGTGGTAATTTGTTGGGTAAAAGAACAAATTTTACCGCTCGCACAGTTATCTCTCCGGACCCCAATCTTCGCATTGATGAGGTAGTTGTTTTTTTACACAGACCATGCGAATCGAAGCGCATTTTTCTACTCCTATTTTAAATTACCTCTATTGATTTCAGGTTTGTATCCCAGACCATTGTGCCAAGCTTCTTACCTATCCGGAGCGCGTTACCGAATTTAATTTGGAATTTCTTCGAGGACTTGTGCTGAATGGCCCCTATAAACATCCGGGCGCCCTTTTTGTCAGATATAAGTCGTATACCAGCAGATCAGAACAATCAGCAAAGGATCCTGATGTTGTGAAGAAGTTTCTGGCTAGTCCCAAGGTTCGCGAGAGTGTTGCAAAAACTCTCCGCGTTGGGGATATTGTGGATCGACATCTCATTGATGGTGACATTGTCCTATTCAATCGCCAACCCTCTCTCCATCGTGTGTCAATGCAAGCTTTTAAGGTGTGCAACTTAAATGTCACTGCTGGTCGCATTATTTATGCCCCTGCTCATATCCTAATCATTTACTGCATGAATTAATTCATACCATTGGTGGCGGTGAGACCTCAATTTTCATTAGGGTGTTTTTTTCTGTCACTGTTTGTAAAGAGTTACTTTATAAATAGGCTGTCGTGATGAGTAACAGAACGTTCCGTTTCAACCCGTGTTGTTGTCCACCTTTCAACGCCGATTTTGATGGTGATGAAATGAATGTTCATCTACCGCAGACTGAAGAAGCTCGTGCTGAAGCTAAACACCTTATGCTTGTAAGTCAAATCGTTTAAAATCGAATTTACAGGCATGTTGTTTGGCTTTTTTAGATTTTGTATTTCTCTTCGAAGTATGTTTGGGGGGATCCATTTTCTAGATCACCTATAGAGGAGCAAGTAATGAGTTTAGTAATCAATGCGGGGTTTGCTGTTTCAATGGCGACTCACCTCATTATGCTTTCTTTGGTGCATTTTAGTCCCTCCGGAACATTGCCAGTCCAAAAAATGGCGAACCTCTGATATCTCCTATACAGGATCTGATCACAGCCACTCATATGCTCACTTTGAAGGACGTTTTTTTCACTTTTGATCAGGCTTGTCAGTTAGCCTGCCAGCTCGTAGCGGGCTCGCACATTGGTTGCAAAATCCAGTTACCGACACCAGCCCTTCTTTGGGTGAGTTCAGAACTATGGAGCTGGGAGTGTATTATTTATTTTTAATTATTTTCGTCCACTCTTATAGCCTGTAAAATTGTGGACAGGGAAACAAATTTTTAGCCTGGTTATGTCACCCCATCACTCTGATATGGTTAAAATAAATTTACGTGTGCCAACGAAGTCGATCTACTCGGGTAGTCAGGAGGAACTCTGCCCCGCTGATGGGTGTAAGTGGACACTACGCTAATGTTTTCATGACGTGCACGTATTTTTATAATTTTCCTGTGCACAGATCTTCATGATATTACCATAAGCTTGTTAACACCTCATTTACCTACTTTTTACTCTTCTTCAATATAAATCAAGCGTTAAAAGCTTGCATTTATACGTTTTCGTTACAGTCGTGGTAATAGACAACAGTGAACTGTTGGCGGGGTGCATGGACAAGAAATTGTTGGGCAGTGGAAGCAAATCGAGTATCTTCTACTCTATCCTGCGTGACTTTGGTGGGGAGGCCTGTGCGGATGCAATGTGGCGTCTCTCACGTATCGGCCTCTTTTACTTATCCCACCGCGGCTTCTCCATTGGTATCGAGGAGGTCACACCTGACGCCAAACTCGTGGCTGCTAAGCAGAAGCTTATTAATCAGGGGTGAGGATCTTTCAGTTGGAGGTGGGACCTGTTTCTTCCGGCTAACATTGCACCTCCTTTTATTCCTTTGCAGATTTGCGAATTGTGATCACTACATTCATCAGTACGAGACTAACACACTCTCATGCAATCCCGGGTGCAGCACAGAAGAGACACTGGAGGCAAGTTTCCTCAATAGATCTTATTGTTCAGGTGTATGTACCAATCACAATTTTGAATGTGTCCAACCTTTAGCAAATGAGTTCGGCTGCGCTCATTTCGAAATTCGGCATCACGCTCGTGAGCCTTCCTAATTGGTGATGGAATTTCTACGGTATACTCCATTCCATCCATTTTCGAAACTATCATATTGTCGGGACACGCTCCGTTTTGTAGTTCGTAAATTGCACTAAAGACCTCTCTTGCAACCGCGAAGTTGAGCTTCTTTTGAGGAGATGGAAGCGGTTGACCCACTACCACAGTGTGCGTTATTCCGGGAATTATGCAAAGAAAATTGAGCGTTTAACTGTCATTATTGTTAAGTTTGCTCATTCCAGAGGAAATTTTGGCACATAATGTATCGCTTATGTTACTGCAATTTGCTAGTAGACCCATTCTCGCCGTCTCTACCTATGTCTTCGAGTGCTGTCTACATTGTCGTTTTGGGTAACAGTAAAATTTGGTTCTACTTTGAATCACTTATTCCTTAATTGAACTTTCTAAACCCTTATTTGTGGAATGATTTGAGAGGTACCAATCCGCATAATCCCCTAATAATAGCAATGTTACTGAAATGATTGCGATTGATTCTGTTTTAGAGCTTTTATATCTGTTCATGCATGAAATTACGGTGCATTTGAATTGTAATTTGCCATCAGCTTTTTCTCTGCTCAAGTAATATACTTTTTGTCGTTACTGAATTTCACACATCGTTTGCCTTCTTGTTGCCCCCATTTCCCTCCTACTCCCCTCTCCAGCAGGGTATTTTTTATCATCCTTTAACTCACACTAAAACATTTTAGACTTACTACTACTATCACGAGCTCGTCTTTTTTCCTACTTTTATTTTCACTGTTCAAGTGCTTATTGCACACCTTTCGTCAACCATTCTGACATTACTACTGCGAGGGCCCTAGATAAAACGTGCTCGCTACTTTTCACTTGTGAGCGATATGGCTGATATACTTTCACTTACAACTCGATAGGCGAACTTAAGCCAGGAGTTGTCAAAGATCCGCGACGAGGCGGGTTCTGCATGTAAGCGCACCCTGCATCCCTCCAACTCACCGTTGGTTATGGCGCAGTCGGGCTCGAAGGGCTCCTTCCTAAACATCTCTCAGATGATTGCCTGTGTGGGCCAACAGATCATTGGGGGTCGACGCATCCCCGATTGCCTCAATGGGTCGCGTAGTCTTGTTCACTTTCCGCCGGGATCGCGCACCCCCGCGGCCAAGGGCTTTGTGAGCAATAGCTTTTACTCTGGTCTCACGCCCTACGAGTTCTTCTTTCACGCCATGAGCGGTCGTGAGGGTCTTACTGACACTGCTGTCAAAACCGCCGATACCGGATATATGCAGAGGCGGCTTGTCAAAGTAGGTCGCCTCATTTTTCCCAATGAAAACCGACTTATCGCCAGTCTTCTGTTCTGATCGATCATGAGTAAATTGCAGCTCACTTAATCTCATATTGTTGCATCGCTGGTTTATGTGAAGTTAGGTTAGTGATTCAGAGCCGACCTTGCTGTGATTTTTAGCTCTGGGTGACTCGTACAATCCGCCTCTGGATCCATCATTGAAAAAGACAAAAAACCGCTTTATATTCAATTAATACAAACGAGTGTTAATAATGATGAGCGGGTAGGTAGAAGATGGGTCAACCGTACATAATAATAATGGATTTGTCTGAACATTTACTTTTGTTTTGGAAGGGTTGTTGGACTGGATTTAAAGTGACTTCTATTTTACTTTTTAAATATCCGTTGCAAAGGAGGTTTCACCACAAATTCATTGATTGTGTAACACTGCTTTAACTTCAATCTCTGTTTAGATTGCGTGCAGTAGGTGCAGTTATGTATGGTATGGTATGGTATTTGGACCCTAAACCTCGGCTTCGCCGAAATAATTATCATTACATGCAGTTTTGCTTAGCATTAATGAAGGATGTGGTTTAAATGATCCTATCAACTAACTTTTGTTACTTACAAATGTCGTTTCAATAAATTTTAAGCATGGAACATCGTTAGGATAAATATCGATATCAACTTCATGCCAATTATGTTATCCCTATCGTTCTCGACTTAGTTCCTCGAGGACCTGACAGTGACCTACGATGGAACAGTGCGTGACAGTCGTGGTGACATTGTTCAGTTTCGGTACGGTTCAGACGGACTAGATCCCGGGGAAATGGAGATGGAAAACTTTCCGGCTGATCTCAAACGCGAGTTGGCTAACATCAAGGTAAATCCTTCTAGGTTTCAAAAAGGAACAACCTGTTTACTTCGAATCGGTCTTGGAAGATAAACAGGAGATCAAGTATTCAGTTTTGGATCGTGGTGACCAGCCATTGGCATCTGTTCAGAGGTTAACAATTGGTACTAGCAAAGGGTTTTTTTCATGCATCATTAGGGCATTTCACCGTGCCGTTCGGAGCCATCAATGACTCCCGGAGAGGTGGAAATTGCCATAAACGCTGCTCTCAATCTTCCTGCCTTCAAAAACGTCGACGAAACCCTATCCGCCTGCATAAAGTGAGTTAAATCTCCCGAACACTTTGTCATGTTTAATTGAGCTTTTCCTACACAGGTGCCTGTTGATTCTGCATTTGCCCGCTCACTTTGTACAGAACTTTTTTCATGAATGAGGTCCTCCCGAAAATGCGATCGGCGCGAGGCTTGAGGTTGGCAGAGGTGACGGAGGGTGTGGAGGCCGAGCCACAACGTCTCACACGTACCCAACTACGCCTCTTTCTGATGCGCGTGAAGAAGAAATTCGAGGGAGCTCTCATCGAACCGGGTACAGCCGTGGGCGCTCTCTGCGGACAGTCCATTGGTGAACCCGCCACTCAGATGACTCTCAAGACCTTCCATTTTGCTGGAGTTGCTAGCATGAACATTACTCAGGTATGGAGTACCTCTTTGATAATGGATTGAATACCGTAGTTCCTCGATAAGCTACTCTACTTTCTTTTTTGGTTTGAAGGGTGTGCCACGAATGCGGGAGATAGTAAACGCAGTGGCAAACATACGTACCCCGCTGTTGAGCGTGGCAATAACGGATCCGACCTCAGCGAGTCTGGCGCGTCGTGTAAAGCTGTTAATAGAGCCGACGCGGTTGGCGGATGTAGCGCTACGCCTGCGCCAGTGCCTCTCGCCAGACGAGGTGTATGTGCGTGTGGATTTGGATTTCAAGCGGATGGCGCGTCGTGAAATCACCGCGGCGCAAGTTGCAAATGCGGTACGCAACGCTAGCTGGAGCACAAGACGGCTCAAGCTCTCCCGTGTCACCTTCTCCGACACTCATCTAACTATTTATCCTGCTGATATGAATCGCCTGGAACTCCTCGTTCAGATGCTTGAAGCCGTTGTTGTCAAAGGCATCCCTGGCGTTTCTCGGGTAGTGATTCAAGAGGACAAAGACGGTAAACACAACATATTCGTTGAAGGCGCAAAACTGAGAGAGGTAAGGTATTTCGGTTGAGGCGTACTTTCAACCGTTTCTTCCTCTCCTCTTACCGTTTCAATTGCTACAAAGGTAATGTGCGTGCCAGGAGTAGTGCCGGAGGCGACACGAAGCAACAACATTCTTGAGGTGGAGCGCTGTCTGGGCGTCGAGGCAGCGCGTCGCGTTGTCATGACCGAACTCCTCACAGTTATGGAGGGACACGGCGTTGAGGTAAACATCCGTCACGTTATGCTCCTCGCTGATCTCATGGCCAATAGGGTGAGTCTAATCTATTTTTTTAAAATTTTACTGAGTGAGTTGCTTGGGGACTCAAAGGTCATCTACGGAATGGAATTTAACCATATAATTTGCCATTCTTCTATTCACATATGTAGTCAAAAATGTTGAAGCGTTTTGTTAAGATTAATGTACTCCTTTTAGTGTCGTTTTATTCTGCAATGAAGTTGGTACCGAAAATATCATGATGGGTGGTTGATTGGACTTTTCATTAAATCATGAATTTGGTGATCTGTGTCCATTGCATTTATGGCAGTAAGCTGGTTTATTTCATTTTAGGGCGAAATCTACGGTTATCAGCGCAGTGGCATGGCGAAGGCGAAGAACAGTGTGCTGTGTCTTGCCTCAGTGGGTTTTAATCCTTTCCATCTTTTATAGGATTTAAAAACCTTAAATGGATCCAATTCCCTTTCAGTTTGAACGTACCGGCGATCACCTCTTTGAGGCCGCATATCATGCTCAGGACGATACATTATCAGGCAAGTAATTGTCACTAGTGTCAGGGAATCAATGCTGTTTGTACTTATTTTTAAATGTCCTCTCCCTGTAGGAGTGACTGAAAGCATTATCGTCGGTAATCCTACACGTATTGGAACAGGAACGTTTGACCTTCTTGGCAAATGATATCCTTTTACGTTCCTACTATCTATAGCTGACACTTTACAGGCTACTTAATGCGAAAATTTACTAGGTGGTGTTCATTTTATCCTATTTCCACTTTTTATGAGTTAGAGCAAAAGGTTATCTTGATAGCAAATTGATTGCTTAATTACGAAAT